GTACTGTTATTCTACTTCCTGTTGCTCTCCTGCTGACCCCAGGGCTTTGCACAGGGGAAGATATTTTGTCCACAGATTCTCAGACTTCAGATCAAGTTTATTCAAAAGTCCTCTGGCTTCCTCTGGACTCTCTATTCTCCCTCCACCTGATCTGTTTCCATGGAAACTGCTGGGCTCCTGCATCCCTTTCATCCTCCTTTCTGGGAAGCCAGGCCTGCTCTCTGGCACCCGGAAGCCAGGCCTGGCCATTATAAAGACCAAAGAAACACCCTCTGGACGAAATCTTTCCAGGCAGAGGGAGGAAGCGGGCTGGGCTTCTGATTTGTTCTTTGATGTGCTCTAAAAGAGCACCAGGTGCTCTGAGGAGCTCTGCCAATTACCGCCGCCAGTGGGTGCTGGCTGGAAAGTTGTTTGTCACCTGCTCTGCATCTTGTCATCTCATAGTCCGCAGGCCTTCCCTTCCCCCCGCCACCCCCGGGGGGAGCGGTTCTGGGGTCTGAGGCAGAAGGCAAGTTGAGCAGGTCTTCTTAGGAATGCTAGGTACTGGGTTACAGCAGCGATTTCAACAAGTGTGCTGCACGAATTTTTAAAACATGAAATACCTGACCACTTAGTGAGAGGCACCGACTTCTCTTCTCCTAGATCAAGCATGTCAAACTCACGGCCTGCGGGCCACAGGCCTCGTTTATTTGGCCTGTGTTAGCCTTGGAGTTTGACATGCTTGCCCTAGATCAGAGGTTCTCAACCTGTGGGTCGCGACCCCTTTGGCGGTCGAACGACCCTTTCACAGGGGTCGCCTAAGACCACCCTGCATATCAGATATTCACATTACGATTCACAACAGTAGCAACATTACAGTTATGAAGTAGCAACGAAAATGATTTTATGGTTGGGTCACAACATGAGGAACTGTATTTAAAGGGCCAGAAGGTTGAGAACCACTGCCCTAGATTGTCAAATAAATAAAAAAATGACGGCCACACAACAATAGCCGTCCAGTGTGACTGAATCAAAGTTATACCTATTTTCTTAGATCGGCAAGCAATATGTTTTTTGGTGTGCCACAGAATTTTAGTAATTAGTTTATGTGTGTCATGAGATGAAAAGGGTTGAAAATCTCTGGGCTACAGCATTCAGGATGCAGCTGGTGGGCTGGAGGTGCAAAAGGGAAGACGGCATCCCATCTGCCCCTTCGGGGGGAAGGGAGGAGCCAGCCACCAGCTGGACTCCTGGGCAGGCTAGGAACAGTGGGTGTGGCATCACCCCTTGCCACTGACAGGCACCCCGTGGCTCTGTGGCCAGGATCTGGGAAGCACTTTGTACACATTGTCCTGGGACTTGTACCTGGTCCGCGAGGACTCCCATTCACTTGGAGCAGTGGTTGGCAAACTGCGGCTCGCAAGCCACATGCGGCTCTTTGGCCCCTTGAGCGTGGCTCTTCCACAAAATACCGACTTCTGCGCATGGGCCACGAAGTTTCAATCACACTGTACGTACAAGCCCGCACGTGGTATTTTGTGGAAGAGCCACCCTCGAGGAGCCAAAGAGCCACATGTGGCTCGCGAGCCGCGGTTTGCCAACCACTGACCTGGGGAGTGGAAACTGGAGGAGCCAGAGGGTTCTCGGCAGCCGCCTCTGCCAGGGCCGAGCTGGGTGGTAACCTCTCTGGGCTTTGGTTTCCTAATCTTTAAAACGGGCCCAGTCCTTGCCTTGCACACCTGATAGGCTAGTTGGGACCACCTCACCAAACAGGACACATGCCAAGCCTCTGTAAAGGCATCTGAGTGTATCCTTGGGGGCATGGTCATCTTCGTCACTGTCGTAAAACGTGAGGGGAGATCGCTGAGGAGCTGCGAAACCTCAGGCATCTAAAAAAAACGACAGGGCCCTCAATTCATAGAGATAGAAACATAAAAGAGTTTCATTTCTATCACCGCTGCTTTCAAATATGTCCATGGAATCTCTTGCCCATCCCTCGGCGATTTCTTGGTCTGAGTCCACATTTTCCTTCCCATGTTCAGGTAGTGGATCTTGATCCAGTTCAGTTTCAAAGCTCTCCTCTTCCCCATTGCAAACTGCATGAGGGCCTGGACTCCAGGGCTCCGCTGGGAGAGGAGGCTGGCCCTGGGCATTCAACCCCCTCCACCACCCTGGATGGAGTGAGGTGGCCGGGAGAAGAGGGAGGATGCGATCTTAACTCGCTGACCACCATGGGTTGCAGGCTGTCCTCTGGGGAGCCATTTTCAGCTCCACGTGGACCAACCAGCAGGTACGTGGGTCCTGTCCCTCCTTCAAACTCCACATGTGCCTTTCCTGGGAGCCACAAAGACCTCCAAGGGCTGCGGGTAACCAGAACAGGGTGCCATCATCCCCACCTTCCTTCTACGCATGGGACAGCCCAGCCTGGGCCTTTACACAGCACGGAGCCTGGGGCCCGGACTCCAGAATTCTGCACTGGGAGCAGGTGTGCTTGCCCGTGTCCCCTTAGGGCAGGCATCCCGCCACCTGGAGAGGTCTTCTGGAGGCCCTGCAGCAAAGCATGGCTTCTGAGCAGACACAGAGGCCACCCTCCCCACAGGCGAAGGCCCCTCCCTCTCCCTCTCGCAGGTTCTCCTTTCCCACAGCCCGTGGCCCGTGGCCGTCGTGGGAAGGAGAGGGCAGGCCTGGTGCGTCCAGCAGACAGGAGGTGCCTGGCATCTGGGGAGAAGCTTTGCAAGCAAAGTACTTAGCCCTTTGGTGCTACTATTTCAGAACAACAAGTCAATGTTCCCCAACAGCCTGCCGTAATAAAGCTACATTTTCATGTGCCAGCTAACTCCTTGACTAGTCATTTCGGTCCTTACCCTGATGCTGTGCGACCAGTGCTATGATTACCTCTATTTCTACTTCCCCCACGCCTCACTGCCAGTCCGTGGGTTTTGCACCCTCATCTGTCTGAGCCCAGAGCAGGGCTTGTAACTCCTACATGTGACTGCTTTGCAGGCTCGGTTTGGAGACAAGGGACAAAGGGACTTGCTTGGGCTCAGGGGCCTTCCCTGGGCCTGGCTCTGGGAGAGTCGGGGATGCGCCTCCCAGAAGGAGGTTCCAGCCGTGCGTCTACAATGAACAATGCAGGGCTGTCTCAGTGAGGGGTTTGGAGGTCACTGTGGCCACCCTGCAGGCATACCCCATCAAGCCAACATCCTCCCCATCCCAACAGCTCTGAAAATAGGAAGCAGGAGTTCCACGCTCCCTCCCTCACCAGGAAAACCAAGTAGCAAGGGGGTAATAGCTTTGGTCTTTAGAGAGCCAGGATGAGCTCTCCGGCCCCACAGATCTGGGCTGGGGGTTGGGGGGTGGAAGGCGGGGGGATGGGGAGCCGGGCAAAGGAACCCAATGGCAGTGTCAGAGCTGGAAGTGACTGTGCCAAACCGCTGAGTGGCTGGGCAGCGCAGGGGTTAAGAGCTTGACGTTAGCCTTCCCTCTGGGCCTCACTCTGGGGTTAGCCCTTCCAGAAGCCTTTCACTGCCCCAGGAGAGGGATGCTGGCCAAGAATGTCCTGCCAAGCCGACCACCACTGATGTCTGGCTTCATAAAGGGTAGGGGGATTAACTCTTTTCATCCTCGGAACAACTCTAGCAGGTAAATATGCACATTCCCATTTTGCAGAAGAGGAACGTGGAGGCACAGACAGGGAGGCTGTGTAATTTGCATAAGCAGCCTGATTCTCGGGTGCCTGCTCTTAACCACGGGCCATCCCGTCCCCCCAGAGGCAGGCAAGAGAGCCCGTGGCTTTGGTGAGTCCTCAGCCCAGGGCTCTCCCTGACAGCAGGGGGAGGAGATGAACACGCTGGCTTTTCATGACTCCTCTCTCCTGTGTGCTCCTCTAAGTCACTCCATACACGTTTGCTCTGGGCGAAACACGAGTGGAGTTGGGGCTCACTCTGGGCAGGTCTCTCCTCCTGAGGGACAAGCTCTCCCCCGTGACCTCCTTTCTGTTCTCACCTCCTTCCCTTTCCCCCCGCCCTTTGGAAGGCGGCTCAGGCAACACTCATTAGCACATGTTAATAAGTATCAATTCATTTCTCACCGGGTGCACAAGGCCCCCAGGGAGAAGCGGGAGGAGCGCAGTCCCCAGCTTGGGGAGTCCTGTCCGCCGTTCCAGGACTGTCCCCTCTGAGACCCTAGGTCAGCGTTGGGCCTTGCCTGCCCAGACTTAGGCATTTCCCACGCTATCCCCAGGCGGGCGCAGCTAAGACACTGGAGGGCGTATCTAGTCCTGCCACCCCCTGGACAAACGTCTAAAAGCCCCCCGGAACCGTCCAGGGTCAGGCAAGTACCAGGGGGCGGAGGGAGGCACCCCAGGAAGGGCAAAAGCCAAGACCCGGGGGCAGGAGGAGCCTCTCCGCTCCCACCTGGATTCTCCCTGGTTGGCCCTGAGTCCAGTCACCCCCAGAAGAGCCTTGAGACCGAGCGGCTTCTCCCCAAGACCGGGCCCCACGGAGGGGCCGGGAGAGCGTGAACACAGAGCTGGGTGCAAATTCCTGCCCGGCCCGGTGACTTGCTGGCAGGTCGGTGAGCCATTTGAAGTCTACAGGGCCCTCATCAGGAAAGTGGTCCCGGTGCCCCGGCTGTGCAAGGGACAGGCAGGAGGAAGCAGGAGGGAGACTAGTGCAACCCGAACTCCAGGTGCTAAATACTTGTCAACATATTGTCAGCATTATTGACGTTGCAGTTCCCGCTGCTGTCAATAGTGCTACTGCCCACCATCATCTGGGGTAGCTGCACCCGAGATGGTCAGAGGGAGGGAGAGGGAAGGCAAGGCAGCCTCACTCGCCTCTGCACCTAAGCGCCCGTCTCCCTGGGGCCCCCCTCGGAGAGGTCTCCGCGCATCCAACTGAGAAACCCTCCTGAGCCCCGGGGCGGCCACCGCCCCTCTGCGCCCCGGGCCGATTCCCTGAGCGCGCGCGCCCCCTGCTGGCGGCGGGCGGCGGCGCAGCCCCCGAACTGTATATAAAGGCAGCGTGGCGCGCAGGACCTGGCCGAGCGAGCGCGGAGTGCAGTGCGCAGGGAGAGCGCGGTGCCGCCCGAGGTCTCTGAGCCGCACGCCATGGCTGGCCCGCAGCAGCAGCCCCCTTACCTGCACCTGGCCGAGCTGACGGCGTCCCAGTTCCTGGAGATCTGGAAGCACTTTGACGCAGACGGTCAGTAAAGCTCCCAACTTCTGTGGCCATTCGACCCCAGGGGACCTGCGGTGGAGGGGACGGAGCGCTGCTGGAGGCTGGCAGGGGCACCTTTGCTTCAGGGGGCGTTTTGACTGCAGAGCCTGCTGCTCTCTGAGGGGGGGTGGGGGGGGGCCTGAGTTTGGGAGACATCCCGGCTGCTCTGATGACAACTGTCAGTAACTTTTCTGCCCCGACGTAGATGCCAGAGAGCCCACCGGCTTTTGCAGCCTCATTCTGGGCAAGTTGGTGCTTTCCCAGAGGAGGCCTGGGCTGGCCGGGCTCCCCGTGAGTCCCCCGTGCGTCCCCCGTGCCCCTCCATCTCATCTTCCCGCCTTGCTCTTCAAGGGAACGACCTGCCTTCAGCTGCCCGCAGCTACAGGTCTCAGAAGCCCACTCATTTCTTTCAAGTTCCCCTTTGGTTGAATACCAGGTTAGCCCGGTATCTGTCCTAAGCTGGGGGTGGGGGGGCGAGGTGGGTGTCCTGAATGGAACCCCTTAGCCTCCCCAGCCCTGTCAGCGAGGGGCAGGAGTGGAGAATGGCACTGGGGCCCTGAACACCCACCCCCTGGGCCTCCCCAGCCCATGTTCCATCCCCCACAGGCAGCAGGCATGCGGTGCTGCCCGCAGCAGCAGGGGGCAGGGTGGAGGCAGGGCCGGGTGCCAGCCCGACACGTTCCCCGTGGTGATAATCCTGGGTGCTTTGGGTGAGTCCACCTCTGAGGGGGGAGGGCGCACACTGTTAAATGCCTTCAGGGGCCCACCCCCTGCTCAGTGTGGTCTTGGCATGGGCTCACCCAGGAAGTGAGGCCTGGACTGAATGCCCTTTGCAGATGGCTCCCAGCACTGAGATCTCTGGGGTCTGTCCTCAGGCATAAAGGGGGCTCCCTCCCTTGAGAGGCTTCTGATTTTGCAGGAGACTTTTTCTCCACCACTCCAAAAAAACTAAGTGATCTGATATTCCTTCTCCGGGATCCTCCCTGGGGTGGGCATCCAAAATGTTCCGGCATCTCAGACCATTGGCAGGGTGGTGGCGAAGCGTGTTTACCCCGGGACTGAGATGGGAGGATGGGAGGCAGAGGGAGGACCCAGGGGTGGCTCATTCAACTCTTCCCCTCCCCTTCCTCAGCTTGGCAGGGCCGGGGTGAACGTGGAGACCCAGCGGCCCTCTGCCCAGAGCTCTGGGGAGTCAGGGGTTAATATCTGGGGGTGCTAAAGAGCGACGTTCTGTTCCCTGGGAGCCAACTGAGGAAGCTGGGGGCGCAGAGGACTGGGCATGTGATGTGTGGGTTCGGACCGTGATCTCCCCCGACTGACTGCAGGAGGTGGGTCGATGGTGACATCTGTGAAATGGGGCTAAGGAGGGCCGGTATTCCCAACCCCTGGCTGCTGCCCTGGGACTTAGTGAAAAAGGCTCCAAGACGCTGCTAGCCTCCGAGTATTCCAGGTGACAGGCGCATTCCCTAAGGGTGCTCCTGCAGGTTCATCTGCTCCAGAGACGTGCATGACTCAAGGAAAGCTACCCAGTGGCCAAGGTTACACCACCGGCCTCCTGCCAAAATGAGTCAGCTATAAACAGAGGACTCCTCAGTTCCACTCTCCCCTGTCCTCCTGGGGACGACCAATCGCGCTCTCGATAAGCGTGCTCATCCTTACATTTATCGGAGACCTGGTACTTTGCAAAACACAGTCACACCTCCTTGCGTTCCATACCGTGGTCCTGCTGGGCAGACTGGGGTCCTCGTGTGTAAATGAGGAAACTGACACAGAAGCGACTTCTCCAGGACCGAGCAGCAAGGTGGAGGCGGGGCTGGCGACCGGCCACACCTGGGCCCGCTCGGGTCTCTGGACACCTGCTTTGCCTCCCTCTTGCCCACTGGAGAGCCCCTGACCCAGCCCCAGAGGTGATGGGGTTCCTTTCACCCCAAAAAGGGGTCCTGGGGTGACTGGAGCATAGCTACGCTGCAACGAGACTCGAGTCTTTAAAGCCAGGGAACCCGTGGCTCCCTGCTGCTCCCAGGTGAAAGGGGAGCTAAGTGCTTGCTTCTTGCTTATCCACCAGGCACCCCATTGCCCTCTGTGGTCACGGCCTCAGGCAACCCCAAGGAGGACCCGGGGCCTAACAGAGAAGGCAGCAGAGAGAATTTAAATGCCTGGGAGCACAGAGGTGGTTTAAACTGGAATTCCACGAAAGGACCCAGAATTCAGCTGTAACTTTCCTACCCGTCCCCCCTCCAACACCAGAGTCTGCCAGGGAGCTCGCCCCTCGCCCCTGAGGTGTCCCCTGCCCGCCTGGGCCTCCCTCTTCCTAACTCTGGCTTCTGTTTTCACCTTGGGGTTTCTTCCCCGAGTCCCACCGCTGCTCACACACTTAAAGAGCACAGGGAGGACTCCGCAGAGGAGGGTCCCAGGAGTGAGCTCGCTGCAGCCCAATTAGCCACAGCCACCAGGGAGAGCGACCCCCCCCCCCCCCCCCGCCAGCTCTGCAGTAAACAGAGACCAGGAGGCACTGGGCTCTGAGGAGAGCGGGCTGGGCGGGGGCTCTGACCCGAGCTCGGCCATTCCCAACCAGGAGGCAGAAGCATCATCCTGGTGACTTTGCTTAAGGAGTTACATTTTTTTCAAAATTATCATTAGCCTTTCAGTCGAGAAAGGAAGGAGGTGTTTAAAGAGGGGGAGATCACAGAGCAAGGAGGAGGGGGGCAGGAATCCCGTCCCCTAGTCCCCTGTCCCAGCCCCGGACTCCTCCACGGAGGTCCGCCAGGGTCATGCATTTGGGAGGTTCTGATGTCAACTCTCAAAAGCAGCCAAGTGGGGAGGGGGGGGGGGTGCTGTGGCTCTTCCATGCTGCCCCCCTGCTCGGAGGGGCCCTTCGGTGGCCTCACCTGTCTGAGCCCGCTCTGCTGCTGCTGCCCGGGCACTTCGTCGCCAGGAACTTTCTCGCTCTGCAAGACGCAGGTGGCCCAGGGGTGACCAGCTCAGAACTCACAGGGGCCACCAGGCTGCTATCCCGCTGACGACCAGTAGGCGGTCCGTGAGGGGCCGAGCTGTGGCCTCGCCCTTTGCCCTTTGGAAGCGACTGAGCTGGGTTCCCTCCCAGAGGCCGGCGGCTCCCAGGCCAAGAAGCAGTCCCCTCGCACCGAGAATCTACCCATGTGCGTGCCGTAGGCTCAGGCGTGTGCACAGTTCCGTGGGCCGGGCTCCCTTAGCACGTACAGGAAATGTGGGGGGAACGGGCTTCCCCAGGGAACAGAAACGCATCGCACTCCTCACCGACATTGGGCCGCCGGTGGGAAGGAGGCGGCGCTCTGGTCCCGACGTGGGAAAATGTCCACGGGGCAGCCTTCAGGTTTTGAAAACTGTAGCAGAACGCGACTAGAGTCTGAGCCCGTCTTTGTCATTCGTGGAACAGGTATGCTGGGAAATATTCCACAGAAGATAAGAGTCGCTCTCCCTGCAGAGTAGAGGAAGTGAAATTAAAAGGCGTTTTCTTTTCTCAGTTAATTTCCACATTGTGTGACATACTCACAAGAGCATGTGTTTCTTGTATACTCGGCAAAACAAGAAAGATGTAAAAGAAAATAATTTTAGGGGCACCTCTCCCTCCCCCGGGAAGAGATAGACACATACGCCCATCTCCAGGGCGGGAACCCGCCCAGGCTCTTAGCCGCTTGTCTGCTTCCAGGTGGCCTGGCGATGCAGGTGCCTCAACGCCTCTCTCGGCACGAGCCTCATTCCTCACCTGTGTGGCCCCAGGACTTGAAAAGGGGTGACAGGAAGGACTAGAAGGAGCTGCGGGAAGCCCCTGTGTCTCCTCTCTCCTACACCCAGTCTAACAACAGGACCTCCCTCCAACCACCCCCCCCCCCATCATGGAGGACACTTCCAGCCCCGAGTGCCTGGCCCTGGTAGGGGGAGGGGAGGTGAACACCAGCGCCTCTCGGAGGGGGGGCGCGGCTGGGCAGCTGCATTGATTGGATATTAAATATTCAACGAAGACTCGTGGCCCCCTAAGAAGGAGCATCCCAAACAGGGTTACAGAATATCTGGCACATATTACGCATTTACACAAATACTGCAACGTTTGCGACGCAATAGAACTGTGCTATTGATCAGGTTAATTGCAGGATTTATAGAAATGATTGCTTCTTGGCACCCTCAGGTCAGAGGCTCTGGTTCGGGGAGCCAGGGTTGAAGTTGTCCGAGGCTGCCCTCACCCCTTTCAGGGTGTCTCCGTGGGGCCTGTCTCCTTTGGGGCTGGTGTCAGGGTCTGGGCTCCCTGGGAGCTTCCAGGACCTGCCCCACCTGGGGAAGCCCTAGAATCAGTACCCCAGCGCCGCCGCCGCCTTCACCCCAACGCCCCACTTGTTTCATGAACAGCGCCCTTCGGTGTGGAGCGCCCACGGCGCCAGCCCTGAGCTGGGCACCCTCCGTGCAGGCCCACGCCCTGCCTCTCTGCGGAGGGTGGTTGCGCCAGCCTGGGAGGCAGCCGTGTCTGGGAAGAGCTGGGGCCCCCAGCGGGGCAGCCGCAGGGACAGGTGTTCACAAACAAGGTGCTTCAGCCGCCTCCCCAGGCGGCCACCAGCCCAGCCGGCCCCTCCCTGCTGCTCGCCTGCTATTCCCCTCTGGACTCCAGCAGTTTCACTAGCGGAGGCCCCGTGGGGGAGGCTCCAGGGCCACGGAGACCCAGGGGGGGAACCTCTTCAGTTCCCAGGGGCCAGGATTAATAGAGCAGCCTGAGGCTCCGCAAGCAGGGCCTGGCTGCTCTCCTGGCCCCTGGCGGCCCGCGCCCTCCTTTGCCCAGCCAGTCCCATCTGGGGCCTCTGGCTTTGGCTCTCTCCCCTCCGCTCCGGCTCTCTGCGGTCTCCCCTCCACTCCCGCCCAATCTGCCCCATCCTTCTGGCCTCGCCCACGCCTGGGAATCAGCCCAGCTCTAGCTGCCAGCTGCCCACAGGTTCAGGGGACCTGGCCCAGCTCAGAGC